GTATTGTTTAATATTTAGGTTATGAATATGTTTATTATTGTGTTTAATTTTAATTTGTTTAAATTTGTGTTAAAGGGGAGTTAAAGCGCATTATGGACTTGGTTATTTTAATAGTTGGTTAATGCTAGATAGATTTTGATTATTATATTTGTAACCCTGTGTTCAGCTCTGGGAAGTGGGGGAGGGGAGGGAGGGGTTTGGGGATGGGTATGGGGGTTTATACTGTAATCTTCATAAAACTTTTAATAAAAAAAAAAAAGACTTAACGTGAGCAATATCGGCTTGGACTGCCAGTAGGTTTCATATAAAATGGCAGTCCTGTTGGGACAGAACAAATGCCCAACGAATCCAACATTTTGAGCTAGATCCCGCCAGGTAGGGTTCTATTTTACTAGCAACCTTTTAATACAATCAGTTTTGCGTGGATGCAATTTGACTTCGCTAACTAAATTTTAAAAAGTGTATCTGCTGAATATACAGGTTGGTAGAACTACAAATCAATATATTCACTAGCTAAGGGACATAGGCACAGTCTCTTCCTGTTGGGAAGCACAGTTTAAAAGTATGGTATCATAATCGAAAAGGCTTCTCCCCCCAGCTTTATCTATAGAAATAAAAATGTAAATGTTCGTTTGTTCAACATCTTAAATCTCCGAAAGTTCTTCACCGATTGCTTTGAAATTTTGCCACAACGTTGCATTCGAATACGCACGTGTTTTTATATACCTACTATTATATAGATGTCACACCTGCGACAGGTAAAAACATGCTTTTTTTGAAAAACAGCGCCATCTGTTGGACGTAAAAGCAACACACGCTAACCAGACTGAGCCACAGCAACGCGTGGCCGGGTACAGCTAGTAGTCAAATAATTTCAAGACAGTCAAGTCAGGCATGAAGGCAATATGTTATCATCACCAGATATATTCAGCAAATGGCATCCAGTTAGTTGGCTTAGCCGATCAGGAAAAGCCAAGCTGAAGCCACAGAGTCTCCAATATTCTGCCCCCAGAAGGATTCCCCAGAGGAATCATTTCTCTGATTCCTCTGACCACAATTGCTGAAAACTGGCAGCATGAGGGGTTGTTGTTGTTTGTTTTTTTTTGACATAGCACAGCATTTTGAGGTTGACAACACAAAAACTGTGTAGGAAACCTTAAAAATGAGCTTGATATAGTTTTAAAAGACCCCCAAATTTAAAGAAAGAAAAAAACAAGAAAAAATATCCAGAAAATTTTATCTTTGCCTCACATATGACACCAATCTACCTCTGGTGCACCATCCCTCCACCCCTGCTTAGCTCTTCCTTTCCCAAGTAGCATTAAGTGCTGCCGCAGTCACCGGAAGATTGCTCCCACGCATAGGAGATAACATATCAAAATATCTTAAGTTGGTCTCTTTCTTGTTTCCTAATTTAATCCTTCTAAGTTTCTCTGAGAGAGAGAGAGAGAGAGAGAGAGAGAGAGAGAGAGGAGAGGGGGAGAGACACAGAGAGAGAGAGAGATGAGAGAAAGAGAGAAAGAGAGGAGAGGGAGAAGAGAGGGAGAGAGAGAGAGAAAGAGGAGAGGAGAGAGAGGGGGAGAGACAGAGAGAGAAAGAGAGAGGAGAGGAAGAGAGAGAGAAAGAGAGAGGAGAGGGAGAGAGAGGGAGAGGGGAAGAGAGAGAGAGAGGAGAGGGAGGGAGGGAGGGAAGGAGAGAGAGAGAGAGAAAGAGAGGAGAGGGAGAAGAGAGAGAGGGAGAAAGAGAGGAAAGGGAGAGGGGGAGAGACAGAGAGAGAAAGAGAGAGAGAAAGAGAGAGGAGAGGAAGAGAGAAAGAGAGAGGAGAGGAGAGGGAGAGGGAGAGGGGAAGAGAGAGAGAGAGGAGAGGGAGAGGGAGAGGGAGAGAGAGAGAGAGAGAGAGAGAGAGAGAGAGAGAGAGAGAGAGAGAGAGAGAGAGAGAGAGAGAGAGAGAGAGATTTTGGGAAGTGGGAAGACACCAGACAATTATGAAGAAGGAGAAAAGGCATGGGTGGCTTCTGCAGAAACATCTCCTATGGCAAAATCCTATTACCAGGCTCCCTCATGTCATTTTACACTCACCTGATTTGCCTATCCTGGGCAAATGTGGTAATGGCAGCATTCTGGTTATTGGTCTGCTGTAGAGTAGAAGGAAGCTGGACTACGTTTCCTGCCGCCGGCTGAGAAATCACCATAGTGTTGTATAATGGGGCTGAGAGCGTGTTCTGGCCTTGAGGGCTTAGAGACACCTGTTGACTATGCCCACTGAGAAGGCTTTGTTGATTATGCTGCAGAAATAAAATATTTTGTCAGGCCAATTATTCAGCTTCATGCAATAGATCTGAACTATCACTCTTCCAATGGTTAAAAAAAAAACAGTAGTCTAAACTAAATAAAAATGTTAACTAGGGGCCAATTATAGTACTTATACAATACCCTTTTCTGAGCTTAGCTGTGACCTGTAAGCACTTCCTTATGCAAAGAAGTCAGTTTCTTCTTGAAGACATGTGCTAGCAAAATAAGTGCTGGTGACATCACACAGATGCAAGAGGTGGTTGTGACACATAATTAGGGTATGAAGTACTTTGATTTCATTCCCAGAAAGTTGCTTCAGAACATACAGAGACCCAAAGAGGATCAAATCCCATAATGGCAGATTTTTTTAAAAAAAAAACAAAAACCTGGGCTGTTCAAAAGAATTGCACAGATATGCCAAATTTACTTCACCCCTATGCTTCAAAACACTGTTTTGGGACTGAATCTGAAACATTACACCTGGGGTCTTCAACCTTGGCCCTTTTATGACTTGTGGACTTCAAGTCCCAGAATTCCTCAGCCAACTTTGCTGAGTTGAAGCCCACAAGTCATAAAAGGGCCAAGGTTGAAGACCCCTGCATTACAGTGTTTCTCAACCTTGGTGAATTTTAGATGGGTGGACTTCAATTCCCAGAATCCCCCAGCCAACGCTGCTGGTTGGAGAATTCTGGGAGTTGAAGTCCACCCATCTTAATGTCACCAAAGCATTACACAACTCTGCAAAACATCATCATATGGCTGAATCTTATCTACTACCTGTGCTGTGGTACTTTGCAGAGATGGTTGCTGCATCATGTGCTGAGAACCAATATGTCCACTGTTCATGCCACCTTGGATCTGGTTAGTCTGAACAACCTGGCCTTGCATGCTTATTGGTGTGATCTGTTGAATGGTCGATGCGTTTCCAGAAGCTAGCTGGACAGAACCAAAGTTTAACCCTGGAGTTGACTGCTGCAAGAACATCTTTTGGAAGAAACATAGTTCATGTCAATGCTTAAAATACTACTAACAATTAAATGATTATTGCATGATTATAGTAACATTGTTTATGAGAAATTAAATGTATCCAATCAATACACTTAGAAATAAGAGCCATTCAGAAGAAAGCTCCGATAATTAATAGAACATATAATAATGTAACTTTGAAGGAAGTCAATATTTGATAATAACCCCTACAAGTAGTCCTTGTTTAGCAAGTGGTTCATGTAGAGCAGGGGTGTCAAACTGGCGGCCCACGGGCCGGATGCCTCGCGCGCAGGCCACGCCCACCCCGGCTCCACAAAGGCAAAAAACCCACCACGATACGTCACGTGACGCAATCGAGTTTGACAACCATGATGTAGAGACTATTCGTAGTTACATCGGTAATGAAAATTAACTTTATGAGTAATCCTGGCTTTTACGACCTTTGCGGGTCTGCAGAGCAAAGAAAAGCTGAAATAAAACTGAAGACTTTCAGAGGAAGAAATGTCAGACTGAAAACTGTTCTGTGAAAAGAACAAAGAGACAGTAAACAGAACAGCAAAGAGAGGGTAAACAGTAAACAGAACAGTAAACAGAGAGGGTATGAAATTATCCAGAAGTACTCCAGAAGTTGCTCCTCACAATTAGACCACAAAGCAGGGGTCTCTTGGGTTTTGAGCGGTGGGATGTGAGTGAATAGTCATTTCGCTCAAATTGCACTTGGAGCCTTTAAAAGGATACTAGTTTCTTATACCACTTTCTAATCACATTTGGAAATTGCTTATTGACTTATTTTTCAGCTATTTAGAAATCTTTGACTTAATAAATATGAAAACACTGGATGAGTCTGCCATTAATTCTTTAATGAAAGAATACTTTAACTACAAGCTTAAGTATTTAAAAAAACTGAAATAAACAGAAAAAGACTAATTAAGATTTTGATTTTAGACATTTATAAACAGATTAAGAATCTAGATAAATCTGAAATAAGATTTTGGAATTAATTATCAGAATCCTTCCTATGGAAACGTCAACTTGTTTTAAACATAGAAGAGATAAAGAATTTCAAAATTTGGACACCGGAGGGAGCTAAAGGGTTTGATTAAAGGGGAAGAATATATAAAATATTACAACATTGGAAATATTGAAAGCTACTGTTGAAAAATGTACCTAATGTTGTTAATATTGACAATGTAAATAGCAAAGTTTGTTTTCTATGGATAGATTGTGTCCAGAAGTTATTTTGGAAGAAATGGCAAAAGAGGAACAAACTTACAAGACAGAGACAGATACAGAATTGAAAATGGATTTACAAACGACAGGCTACAAGAAAGATATGGGAAAAGATGGACAAACAGAAGAAATTGGCTGATGTTTTAACAATAAAAAAGAAATTACAAATAATAAACCAAGGGAGGGATCTGGATAATTATTTTATATTTACTTCACAAAAGAAATTTACTAAAGCTTGAAAGAATCCAGTGAGAAAGAGCTAAAATGAAAGAAAAAGAAGTTAAGTTCTACAAGATTACTTGAATGGACTAAAAATTAAGACTGTTACCAGTAGAAGTAGAAGGAAGAAATATAAAGATTGTTTCTTTGATTGTTAAAATAGTTATGTTGTTATTTCTGACAAACCTTAATGGACTGTAACTGATACAACGACTGAAATGATGGTGCTTTATGGATTTGTTTATAGATAAGAGATGGGACATTGGATGAACAGATCCAATTGGTTGTAAATTAAAAGGAGATGAAAAGTTAGTAAAATTGTATATACTTGTGATGAAGATTGGAAATTACTTCCTTAGATATTACTTTTCCTTTTCTTTAACAAATTCTTACATTACTTTCTTTTTCTTTTTTCTTTTTTTTCTGTTTTTTTCCTTTCTATTTTTTCTTTATTTTACTTTGCATTAATTTTTAACTATTTAATACATTTTTAAAAAAAGGAAATCTGAACTGAAGTCATAAAATTATGACTTTTCCACAAATGATCAAGCTGTAGGTCCCAATTGCAGTCGCTAAATGAGGACTATCTTTAATATTCATTATCCAATTAATTATGTATAAATAGAAATGACGAAGTGTTAGGTTTGTGAACATTTTTCTAAAGAAACGAATTACCAAATATATAGATAGCTGTCTTTATCATGAAATGTTGCAGATAAAATACTATAGTTTATTCTAGCCAATAGAAACATAAACACAAGTTTCATTGGTTGAAATCAAATCTCATTTTTACGTATGTGGAAACGCTACCTCCTTTCCTATCTAATTAGCTCAAACTAACCTGGAGACCTTGTCCATGGACCATCTGGAGCTGTTCCTGAATTTTTCGCAGTTCTTCTTGCTGGCGGTGGATGTTTGCTTCTATCATTCGTGTTCTTTGCTCCAATTGGTCCTTTAAGTGTTGCATAGCTCCTAATTGAGCAGAAAACTGAAGCATTGGCTACAAAGCAGAATTTTTTATAAAAGAGCTGAATCAGTAATCAATATGTTATAAGAAAAGTATCCGACTATAACATAAGCACCCTTCTGTTAGCTATATATACACTGAAATCAATTTAATCAGCTAAAGCAGGGGTAGTCAACCATGGCTCTTTTATGACTCGTGGACTTCAACTCCCAGAATTCCTGAGCCAGCTTAGCTGGCTCAGGAATTCTGGGAGTTGAAGTCGACAAGTCATAAAAGAGCCAAGGTTGACTACCCCTGAGCTAAAGTATTTATCAATGAACCCAGCCTAAAACAAAACAAAAAATCCAACATAGAGAGCACTGAGCTTTTAGAGCAGTGTTTCTCAACCTTGACAATTTTAAGGCATGTGGACTTCAACTCCCAGAATTCCACAGCCAGCAATGCTGGCTGTGGAATTCTGGGAATTGAAGTCCACATGCTTTAAAATTGTCAAGGTTGAGAAACACTGTTTTAGAGAATCCTTAAAAGCAAAAAAAGGAGAAAATGGGACCAGCTGAACGAAGGGAAAAGCAGTCAGATAAACAGGAGCTACAGATCGGATTCCCAATAAAAGCTCCAATGTAAGACTTACTTATGTGACAGAACAACAGAAAACTATAGCGTACAATGTAGCCATCTGTTATAGAATGCTGATTTAACTAGGAAGATAAGCTTATGAATTTTGGCACACGACTGCAAACATGAAAACTATTGCAGATTTGCTACTGAAATGGCCTCTATCAAATAAACTGTCTCTCAATCATATTTGATACCCAAATGATTGTTTAAAGGTGGTTTAAATACCTTTTTAATTGTTTGCTCTTTGCAGTTCTTAAATTTGGCTACTGGGCACAATTGAAAAGCAAACTGAAAAGTAGAATTACCATTTGGACTGCTATTCAAAACTAGCTTTAGACAATGAACTCCACAATCCAGACAAAGATAGTATTCCAACTGAAACCAACAGTACTACCTGTGTCATGTTATTCAGATCCCCAAATCAATTAATGAGTCACTGGTATCCTTGCAAATATTTACTAGTTCTGGTAAAAACTTTTAAGGGGGAAAACGTACAGAAATAGCCATAGTTCAGTACTTAAATTTTATATTGCCTTAGTAACTGACAGATCCTGGCTAACCTTATCTGGACTGGGGAGCTGAGTAGGATCAGACAAGGTTAACAGTTGGGGAAGAAGCCTATCAGGACTGTAGATCACACTGGGCACTAAAAAAAGTTATTTGTCTCTAAGAATTGAGTCTGATCCAGCTAAGATCTTTTAAATTCCGTGTTTAAATTTTGCATTGTATTTTTGGGACTCTGCACAAAGTATCATTATTTGCCTTAACGTTCAGATTGAGTTGCTACCTGAGACATGCCTTGCTGAAGTTGTAAAGTTGCAGGCTGGGTCATCATTGGTTGTGCCAGAGGCTGCCCGACAGATTGTGAATTTAAAGACTAAAATTGGAAAAAAAATATACATATAATTATTCAGTTACATTTCTTTCACATCTGATGAAACTAAAGCAGAACTCTATTTTAATGGCAACGATGTCAGGAAAATATCTATGTTAGTTGTTTCTACTAACATAGCTGAATAAAAACAAATCCTGTCATATACTAACAAGAATGAATTTGGGCCGTGTAAAAAATCATTTAATAAAGTCAGTTTGCTGCTTCTGATTTGTCTTAGTATAAATTCTCATAAAAAATGTCAAATGTACATCCCGCAGAGGCCAATGGAGAACAAACATTCAAAGAAGAAACCTCAGAGATTTATCCCTGTGTTGCTCTCAGGGAATATAACAACTTTCTATAAACATCTTTGTCTTTGCACCGAATGGTTACCTGACGTGAAAGAGATGCAAATAGAAAAGTAATTCTAAAGAACGTGAACATCACAACATTTATAACCAAATGGTTCAATTGAAAGACATCATCTTCAGCTCACCAAATTGCAATGTATTAAAGTCTAATTTCCATTCAAATATGTGTTACCTTCTATACTACTTGAACAGCCAGATAGATGTACTGGGTGACATAAACAAAAATGTACTATAAAAATGCATATATAGAGCACAGGGCAAAGCCCCCTACATATCTGAAAGTTTCCAAAATGATTAAGTGTAAACTGGATGATGAGGTAACCTTCTAGCTAGTATTTGCTGTTCTTCTTAATCTTAAGGAACGAAAGTAACACTTCTTAACTTTGGAGAAATGATGCTACTTCTAAATCAGTGGTTCTCAACCTTTTTAATGCCGCGACCCCAACCGGTCGTAAGTCGAGGACTAAACCGGTCGTAAGTCAAGGACTACCCAACCGGTCGTAAGTCGAGGACTTTCCCTGCCCGGGAGCGCCGCACATGCGTGGTTCCGCCCCCTGCGCCGGGCGAGGCGTAGCTGGCAAGCGGCAGAGACGGAGCAGACCGACCACCAGCTGGCCCAGCCCAAGGGAGATAAGGCAGCCTCCGGAAAAGGGGAAAAAAATGGCGGACAAAAAAAAATGGCGGACAGCCTTCCTTGGTGACCCCCGTGAAATGGTCGATCGACCCCAAATGGGGTCCCGACCCACAGGTTGAGAACCACTGTTCTAAATAATTACCTGGTTACCGAGCGAAGCTCTCCTTTGTGCAGACTTTTCATGTGCAGATAAATTTTGCCTTGGAGGAGTGCTGGTATCCACTGTCATCTTTGTCGGGGTTGCTAAAGCAGCAGCCAATGAATATTGAAAGATAATTTCATTAACCACCTAAAGCATATATACGCTTAGACAAATGCTTAAGTCTTTCACTGGGAAATTATAAAGCTTTTAAAATTGAAAACAGACTCCCAATGTAATCACTTGTCCTTTGTCTCTTAGCTTCAAACAGAATATGTCAGAAACAGACTATAAATAGTCAACCAAAGGAAAAGGTTTCAATTCTCGACACTCACATGAAGGATCCGAAACTGCCGTATGGGAAGATTTCCTGGAACTCCTAGAGGAGGCAGAAGGTGTGGGGCTGTGATCAAACCTCTCCAATGCTTCTTTGAGGCTCACTGTATTTATATGATTGTCAGAACCAGAATCCTGACTCTGGAGGGGGGAAAAAAAACAAACATTTGCTATCTCATCCAAAACAAAACAATAGGAAAAAATCAGGTTATGTTTTTAAATTGTGCAGAAAAAAACTTTCATAAGGGCCACAACTTTCAAAGGGCATTCATCTACTTCTTCTGCTCCAAATTATTCCAGTTTTAGATGCTATGAAATAATCCAAGTATCTTCCTCTCCCAGCCACGGCACACAGTCTGTGTTTGTTTGCTTTCTTACAATCCAGTAAAAAAGGGCGTAAAACAGGCCCGTCCAACCCATGGCCCACGGGCTGCAGGAGCCTCTGGTCAGCTAGTAATGCGGCCCAACAAGCTCGTAAACCTTTTATTCTGGTATTTACATACGTTAACCATATTACATATTTTATATATGGCCCAAGACAATTCCTCTTCACTCAGTGTGGCCCAAGTAAACCAAAAGTTGGACACACCTAACTGTATGACTATAAATGAAAAACTGGAAGTGAAAAGTGAGTGTGCATGTATAAAATGTGAGGCTGAGAACGACAAGGTAGGTGTGTGGTGGAACTGAGTCAGAGAGAGAAGTGAAGAGCCAATTCTTCAAGAATGAAAGCTTTTTACGCCTCAGTTATTTTTGCTAGGTATTATGGAAGATTTGGATGCTAAAGAAATGAATTTGATGTTGAATCTTATAACAGCTGCAAGATTACTGGTAGCGCAATATTGGAAGAAAAATTCTTTGCCTACTATGGAAGAATGGAGAATTAAGGTGTCTAATTTAGCAGAAATGGCAAAAATTTCCACTTATTTGAAGGATCAATCTCAAGGAAAATATATTTTGGTTTGGAGAAGATGGATTGATTATATTCAGAAAAAATACGAGATTGAAAAGTATTACTTAGCTTATGAGTACATTTTAGAATATTATTAATAGTTTATTATGGATGAATTTATATTATTTTTAGTAATAATGTTTAATTATATTATTATTTTGCTGGTAAAGTGTTAAGATCTATCTATTTTGTAGAGTTAAAGTATGTATGAGACTTGATTGTAGTATATCTGGATAATGTTATTTAATTTATGATTCTGTTTTTTATAACCTTGTAACCAGCTCTGGGAAGTGAAGGGGGGAGGGGGGGAGGGAAGTGGGATATTGTATGGAAAAATATTTAAAACTTTTAATAATAATAATAAAAAAAAAGAATGAAAGCTTTTTAGAAAAGAAGGTGCAGTCATTTTAGAAACGACCATGAGAACAAAGCAAATGTCTTGTTGTTCTACCCGTATTATATTTTGCAAACCTTCCTGTGTCCTCAGAACCAAAAGTGCTGGAGACTCTTATAGGAGTAGTGTGCTAAAGCTGGAAAATACTCCTAGATGCATGAGAATTGTAGAAATGGAATTTAATAGCATTGTACACAGTGTTCCACTACATAAAACAATATCTGAAATTTATCTTTTCTTTAAACCTAACATAACAGAATGTTACTAGAACCCTGAATACTTAATTATTTCTGGTCTTATGAACATAATAGAAATAAATGTATTTATATATCATCATCATTCATCATCATATTTAGCCATGGTCTCTCCACTGCAGGACGAAGGCCTCTTCCGCATGTTTCCAACCAATACGGTCCTGAGCCTTCTTTTGCCAATTGGGCCTGCAATACTTGCTAATGTCGTAGATCCATCTTGTTTTAGGTCTCTTTTGTGGACGCTTTTGATCAAGTGGGATCCATTCTACTGTGTTTTCCCGAAAATAAGACTCGGTCTTATATATTTTTTTTGCCTCCAAAAGAGGCATTAGGTCTTATTTTCAGGGGATGTCTTTTTTCCCCCAATGTCTCGCCCCACCACTGCGGCACCAACAGCCCTGCCCAGCAGGAGCCCACATGGCCGCCAACAGCCCATTTCATCTGCAGCCGCTCGCCACCATTCACATGTCGTCCCCAGCCTCCGTTCCGCTGGTAGAGGCCTTTAGGAAAGGCCTCTGCAGCCGACAATGGAGCTCCGGGTTGATGCTCGCGTTGCTCCCCGGCCTCTTTTTCGCCAGCAGGGGCCCTTTCAGGCCGGGGGGGGGGGGTGTTACACGCGTGTCAACCCGGAGTTCTGTTCTCGGCTGCAGAGGCCTTTCCTGAAGGCTACTGCCACGGGTGATGTGTGAGAGCGGCGGCGAGCGGCTGCAGAAGTGGGCCAGCGGCGGCCACACAGGCTTCTACTGGACGGGGCCGTTGGTACCGTTGCCACAAGGCAAGGCAGGTGTTGTGGCGTGAGTGGCAGTCCTGAGGTAAAGTGGGTGCGGGGAGCATGGGGCAGCTCCACCCCCCCCAGCTTGATTTTTAAGTGTGCGCCTCACCCCACCTCGTGCAACCAGATGGTGGGACAGAGTGGGTGGGTCTTAGCTAGGGCTTATTTTGGGGGAAGGGGTTATATTAGGCACACAGATAAAAAATCAAGCTAGGGCTTATTTTTGGGATAAGTCTTATTTTCGGGGAAACATGGTGTGACTGCCTTGGTCCAGCGGCCCTCAATTCTTCTTGCTATGTGACCAGCCCATTTCCATTTCAATTCTTTTACTCTCTTGATGATATCATATGCTTTTTGTTTATTCTCTAATCCATGTGCAGGTCTTTCTATCTTGTCTTGCAATGCCAAGCACGTATCTTTCCAGGCTCTTTGCCCCATGTACTCATATGTAACTTTTATGTGAATGCATTTTGGGAGATCCAGTTCACTTTATAGATGCAAATTAATTTTAATCCATTTAAATCATTCACCAGGTGAAAAGAACAATATACTAGTAAAAAGAACAAATATAAAGAAAGAGCAGAAAACATACTTTCTCTGCTATAATCTCTGGCAGAGATTCTTCTATGCCAAGTTCACGCCGCCTTTCTGCTCGAACCTCAGCATAGCTACAGATAGAAAAGTGAAAATATCGGGATATTATCAAAACACACAAGCATTGGCACCATTTAAGATATTATATTTTTAGTTCTGTAGAGTTCTCTACTAAAACAAAACATAATTATAATTCAGAATTAATGTAATCATACGTTTGTCTTGACTAACTCAGATATTTTTCACTAGCCATTTTCCTGAAACTTAGTTGAAACAGCAAAAGCAAAATAGAAGTAGAAAATGGTTTTAACCAATTAAAGTAAAAAAAGTGATGCAGAATTATGTTACCTTACTACTGTGTGTGTACACACGATGAATTCTGGTCTAGAATTCCATTGATGGTAGGTGATATAGTAATGAGTCTGCAACCAAATCCACTGCTGGCCTTTTGTGAGGAATCGGTAATAGCAGGATTTCCCTTTCCCGTACTGCATTACTACAATATGAAACAACAAAGGGGAGGGGGCTTCACAAGATGCTGACTCTGGGATATGGTCTGAAACAGTTTACAGCATTTGTTTACATTTTCTTGACAGGAATCTAAATGTCTAAACATAAAGAGTTTAAATCTGCTGGAACTTATTATACAAGGAGACAAGATATCCAAATACAGGCTATATAAAACACATTGGTTTTAAAAAAAGTCGGCAAAAAAGGCATTTCAACACGACTTTTAAAATTTGCGAAGATATGCCAAATCAAAGTGAGCTAATAATAAAAAATAAAAAAGGAAGCCTTATTTAAAAATAAGGAAAACAGTTCTATGAATTTTATTTATAACGATTGCACCATTGGTACATTCTTTCTAAGCAAGTTGCATTTCCTAAGCTTTAATTACAGGGGAAAAAAATAGGAATATGTTTACCATTTGACATATTAATGGTGTTGCATTGGGTTCCTACCCTGGGCAAAGGTTAAACTAGATTACCTCCAAGATCCCTTTCAACTCTTATATTCTATGATAATGTAGGATGGTTATGTTATTACTTACAATGCTCATGACATTTTGCCAAATTTTCCAGGTCATCCACATGATAATAATCATAGCCTGATGTCCCCAACACTTCAAATGGTAAATAGCCTATAATTGGTGGTGCCCTGAATAATGATACAAGGATTATTTCTTTGGTTTTCAGAAATGAGAAAAAAAATGCTATTTTTTTTTTCAAAAATGCATGGTTGGAATTAAATAAAAATATTCATCAACCACAACAGTATTCATTGTTTGCTATGCACAGATAAGGCCAAATAATGCCCACTTATGATAATAAAATGCTACTACTTGGGTACTATATTTCTAAGAAATGGCACCTGTGATCCAAGAAAAGGAATTTCCATTCTAAGCTATGCCTGGAGGTGAACTCTTCGTTAGGTTCTTCTACTGTGCTCATTTCCTAGAGAAAAAAAATATTTAAAAAAGGTAAGATTCTCAAGAATTCCTCTGATCTAATTTAAAGGCTCTTGTATGACCTCCAAGTCCCTTCCAACTTTTTATCATTATTATTACTATTACTATTACTATTATTATTATTATTATTGTTATTATTATTATTATTATTATTATTATTATTATTATTATTATTATTATTATTATTATTATTATTATCTGATTAATTTAATGAAGCTAGCTGCACATGCATTACTATCAATTTTATAGGATGAACATTTCATCACCGCAGGAATTTTGTTCATGGGTTCAACAAAGGAACCACAGGCATCCCCAGCATATCCACCTATTTCTCTTCAGAGCTGGGAATAAGCCCGCTGATGTCCCTGTACTATTTCCAATTGATAATTCCCTGTACTATTTCCAATTGATAATTCATGTGCTGTATTCTTTTTTAAAGAGGGCAGCCTTTAGAAATCATTTCCAGCAATTTAATTTTGCATGATGAGTGACTCACCACACAGATATCAGCATTTCTATAAGGAAGATATTTCTGCTTTGGTTCCGGTACCAAACATTTGAGACATATAAGGTTAAGGTAAGACTTGGGCTTCATCCACTAGATATTACTAAAATGCAGCAAACAGAAGCTGGATGTAGATGCTTTCACATCTCCAGTACTTCACAAAAGCCCTCTGTCTAGGTCAGTGGTGGCGAACCTATGGCACGCGTGCCAGAGGCGGCACTCAGAGCCCTCTCTGTGGGCACGCATGCGGCCACCCCAGCCCCGCCTTCCCCATGGCCCCCTCCTCACCAGCAGCCCCCCCTGGAGGAGAGTAGCCCCCGGGCGTGGCCTGCGCGGAACAACACAGCCAAGGACATGGCAGACAGGCAGCAGGGACAAGACTCCACCCTCATGCCCCGTTGCGCGCAGATGATGCTGCGGGGCACGGGCAGAGGGCTTGGCCGCCATGGTGCTGCAGGGCTGCCTGAGCGATCTACGGCGGGCTGTGGAGGCAGTAGGTGATCCTGCGGGCGGGCAGGGTGGGGGTGGGGCAAGCGGGGCAGGGTGGTTTTTGGGCACTCGGTGTCTAAAAGGTTCGCCATCACTGGTCTAGGGCAAATACCATTATTAGTTTGTTATTTTAACAACTAAATATCCTTTCTAGTCTGGAAACTGCTGCTTAATATTTAAATAACTATTAAATAAGAATAAATCAGATTAAGTTAAATGCAAAGAACTAGCCAAAAAGATTTTGATGAAACAATTTTAACCAACCTTAATAAATTGAGGTGTAGCTAACCTAACTGTAGCTACAAGGCAAATTCTGTCTTCATACGAAGGCCTATGAGGTCGTTGGATGGTTTCTTCATAACCATTATGTGCAGAGTTAGGCACTATACAGAATAGAAAGAGTTTAAAATTACAATAACTTCAAAGCATCAGCACAAACACATATAAAATAAGCAATACTTCAAAATACAACATGCCATCACCTGAAAAATAAAGAGTTCACTTTTTAAATGAGAATTTAAATTATCACTTTAAATTAAACTTTAATTGCATTAAAGTGATATTAATCCAAACTCTTTGTTTAGTTCAGGGGTAGGCAACCTTGGCTCTTTTATGACTCGTGGACTTCAACTCCCAGAATTCCTGAGCCAGCTGGCTCAGGAATTCTGGGAGTTGAAGTCCACGAGTCATAAAAGAGCCAAGGTTGCCGACCCCTGGTTTAGTCAGTGAAACTAATTCATTAGAATAACCACTTGATTTTAATCAACAGCCAATTTTAATTTCCCACACGCTTCAGACTAAAATCTAAAATATTCTACAACATTTCACAGTTTTGAATTGCAGAAGGAGAACGTGTAAAAGAGAATGCTAATGAATATAGATTTTGTTCATTCACCACACAGAGCTTATAACTCAAAGGTTTTAATTATTATTGGCCATCCATGAAGGGAAGGGAAGATCAAAGGTAACAGAAGTGTGATGGATCATGTCAGTGGCTTCCTCCATTTGATGAAAATGCCCTCAATTCTTCTTCCTAACCAACCCTAGCTGTTTGGTCCAGGGATGTCATCATTTATAATAATAATAATAATAATAAAGTTGGAAGGGACCTTGGAGGTCATCGAGTCCAACCCCCTGCCCAGGCAGGAACCCTACACCATTTCAGACAAACGGCTGTCCAGTCTCTTCTTAAAAACTTCCAGTGTTGGAGCATTTACCGCTTCTGGTGATCACTGGTTAATCACTGGTTAATTGTTCTAACTGTCAGGAAGTTTCTCCTTGGTTCTAGGTTGCTTCTCTCCTTGATCAGTTTCCACCCGTTGCTTCTCGTCCTGCCTTCAGGCGCCTTGGAGAATAGCTTGACTCCCTCTTCTTTGAGGCAGCCCCTGAGATATTGGAACACTGCTATCATGTCCCCCCTCATCCTTCTGTTCGTTAAACTAGACATACCCAATTCCAGCAGCCGTTCCTTATATGCTTTAGCCTCCAGTCCCCTAATCATCTTTGTTGCTCTTCTCTGTACTCTTTCTAGAGTCTCAGCATCTTTTTTACATCGTGGTGACCAAAACTGGATGCAGTATTCCAAGTGTGGCCTTACCAAGGCATCGTAAAGTGGTATTAATACTTCATGTGATCTTGATTCTATCCCTCTGTTAATGCAGCCCAGCACTGTGTTGGCTTTTTTGGCAGCTGCAGCACACTGCTGGCTCATATCTAAGTGATTGTCCACTAGGACTCCGAGATCCCTCTCACAGTTACTACTATTGAGCAAGGTACCCCCTATACTATACCTGTACATTTACTATTATGGCACACAAGGAAAACCAGTTCCTGTTTGCCATTTATTCTGCTTACGGGTCTTTTCAGCAGTTCTCATCCCCATAGTATTGTTAGTGCTGCTAAATGCCCTTTATTGTTACTATCAGAAAAAAAGCCTGGCCTGTCACATGAAGCTACTATGTGCTTTCTCTGTTTTCACATCCAGTCCCTAACAGAAAACAGCAGAAACCTCTGGAAAGAATGCCTACGTTGATGAACACTGTCAAAATAAAAATAAATATGATCAAAATGAGCTATACATAGAATTTCTGAAGATGCTGCTAGAGAGTTTCTCTCAGCATGTACAATAGAGGAAAATAAATAGTATGTTTTATGTATCCAAACACAAGGAAAATAAGGGTTATATTATGAGACCCAAATCTGCATATTTTTTGCTCCGATGTTACAAATATGAATAAAACTATATTTGTTCAAACAGTTATTGAGGTTTTCTGTCCATTCTGACAAAAAATATTCATTGTATTATAATATAGGTAGTCCTTGACTTACAACCACAATTGAACCCAAAATGTTTGTTGCTAAGCAAGACAGTTATATGACTTTTGTCCCATTTTACGACCTTTCTTGCCACAGTTATTAAGTGAATCACTGCAGCTATTAAGCTAGTAATATGGTTGTTAAGTGAATCTGGCTTCCCCATTGACTTTGGTTGTCTGAAATTCATAAAAGGTGATCACATGATCCTAGGACATTGCAACCATCTATATATACATAAAAATGTAAATGTTCGTTTGTTCAAAATCTTAAAATCTCCAAAAGTTCTTCACCGATTGCTTTGAAATTTTGACACAACGTTGCATTCGAATACACGCGTGTTTTTATATACCTACTTTATATAGATGTCACACCTGTGACAGGTAAAAACATGCTTTTTTTGAAAAACAGCGCCATCTGTTGGCTGAGTGAACGAGAGCCACAGCAACGCGTGGCTGGGTACAGCTAGTTATAAATATGAGTCAATTGCCAAGTGTCTGAATTTTGATGTCATGACCATGCGAAAAATGGTCATAAGTCACCTTTTTCAGTGCCCCTGCAACTTTGAATGGTCACTAAATGAACTGTTGGAAGTCGAGGACTCCCTGTATTTGCTTCATTGCACTGCAACTATTGGAAGGGAAATGGATGTACAGTAGTGGCCAAAATTGTGGAAACCTTTTGGGAAAAGTGTACAGTAGAAATGCCACCTTTGGTTAAGTTTCCACCCATTTTTCTTCTAATCTGTAGGTACATATAAACTAAGATAATATAAACAATTTCCATTGTATGGAATTGAACCACCACACTAATTCTGAGCTATTTGGAAAAGCAAGCACATCAAGCAGTTACAGGAATGTAAGCAGGAAGAACTCATTATGAAGAGTAACTGGCTTTTTAGCCTACAGCAGTGGTTCTCAATCTTTTTAATGCCGCGACCCCCAACCAGTCGTAAGTCGAGGACTAAACCGGTCGTAGGTTGAGGACTAAACTGGTCATAAGTCGAGGACTACCCAACCGATCGTAAGTCGAGGACTTTCCCTGCCCGGGAGCACCGCGCATGCATGGTTCTGCCCCCTGCGCCGGCCGAGGCGTAGCTGGCAAGTGGCAGAGACGGAGCAGGCTGACCACCAGCTGGCCCAGCTCAAGGGAGGTAAGGCACCCGCTGGAAAAGGGGAAAAAATGGCGGACAGCCTTGCTTGGCGACCCCCGTGAAATGGTTGATCGACCCCAAATGGGGTCACGACCCATTGGTTGAGAACCGCTGGCCTACAGTCTGACCAGACCTACAGGCTAAGTAAGCTGTCATTTCAGGTAGGTAATCTGGAAAACCTGAAAAGAGCAGATTTTTCATTTTGAATTTCTTTCTTATTTGTGCTTGCAGAGGCAGATATTTGGGAGACTTCCTGCCTCAAGCAAGAAACGATGGTACAGATAGTCCTCAACTTACAACCGTTCATTTAGCGATGCTTCAAAATTACAGTGGCACCGAAAAAAGCGACCATGACTGATTTTCACACTTACGACCGTTGCAGCATCCCCATCATCATCTGATCAAAATTCAGATGCGTGGCAAGTGGTTCATACTTACGACGGTTGCGATATCCCGAGGTCATGCAGCCTTCTGACATGCAAAGTCGGTAGGGAAGTCAGATTCGCTTAACAACCGTGTTACTAACTTATCGACTGCAGTGATTCACTTAACAACTGTGGCAGGAAAGGTCATAAAATGGAGCAAAACTCATTTAAACAAATGTCTCACTTAACCACAGAAATTTTGGGTTCAACTGTGGTCGTAAATCGAGGACTACATGTATAGTTCTACTTCCATGTAAAGGGATATGAGGTTGCAACCTTGAACTCAGAAAAAAGAGCTCTTTAACTTAAAATTCAGCTATCTTCAGGCTCATTATACATTCTCATTTACAGCTCAATAATAAGTAATAAGTAATAATGATAAAGTTGGAAGGGACCTCGGAGGTCATCTAGTCCAACCCCCTGCTCAGGCAGGAAACCCTATACCATTTCGGACAAATGGCTGTCCAGTCTCTTCTTAAAAACTTCCAGTGTTGGCGCATTCACCGCTTCTGGAGACAGGTTGTTCCACTGGTTAATTGTTCTAACTGTCAGGAAGTTTCTCCTTAGTTCTAGGTTGCTTCTCTCCTTGATTAGTTTCCACCCGTTGCTTCTTGTCCTGCCTTCAGGCGCTTTGGAGAATAGCTTGACTACCTCTTCTTTGTGGCAGCCCCTGAGATATTGAACACTGCTATCATGTCCCCCCTCGTCCTTCTCTTCATTAAAGTAGACATACCCAATTCCAGCAACCGTTCCTTATATGCTTTAGCCTCCAGTCCCCTAATCATCTTTGTTGCTCTTCTCTGTACTCTTTCTAGAGTCTCAACATCTTTTTTACATCGTGGTGACCAAAACTGGATGCAGTATTCCAAGTGTGGCCTTACCAAGGCATTGTAAAGAAATTGAAATTAAATTGTTAATATCAACCTTTCATTGCCTGGTGTTTTCATGCTCATGTCATTGTAACACTATCATTAACAATTTGGTATTATGCCTATTCATTGTAAAAAAAGCAAATAATTTTTCTTATTTGTTTTATCATTTCACAGGTTGTCAAAACTGAAAAATTTTGCTGATCAAAACATACTACGTGCTTTAATTAACTTACTGTTACTCAAGGATTTGAAGTTTCCTATGCATTTTACATATTCATATGTAGGTGGCTCTTTAGGGTCTATTGTCCCTCGAAGCATATGGCAACAGAACTCCAGTTGATTTTTTGCTGCAACAATAAATTCAATAAATAGTGAAATATCAGGATTAAATTAAAAGCTGATATATTTGAGTAAAGTATGACACAAAATGAGAACCAATGGAAGAAGCTGCTTTTTGTATGGCGTAGCATTATCTTAGCCATCTAAGTTTATTTTTAGTATCTTTGCACAATGTCTACACCTTTCGCATTTATAAAATAATGTCTGTGCAAATGTACTGCGTGTCCCTCCAGATTCACATAGCTCTATGCCCAGACTAATATCACTATAACTGCAGTTTTTAACTTACTTTCTTAGCTCAAATTAACACTTTTTATCTATGGAACTATTGGCATTGCAAAATACTATTACTTATAATAGTCATTTTTTAATCGGCTACATTGTGAGTGACCAGCTTTTATGAAAGTCCGATAAATCACTGATAGAAATATGCAGAAACCACTCG